ATTTAATTCCCTTTAGAACGAAATGTTGTTTAAAAAGTATCCTTTTCACATACTTAGCACTCTGAAACATAGTAGAAAAAGAAAATATACATTTATATGCATATTTAACGACGTAATTACAAAATGTTTACATCCTATCGTATCAAAACCCATTGATCTTAATGTCAATATATGTTTTAGTCTCCATGGAAGAATCGCCAGTGCTTCAAAGCAGTGTATGGGTAAAACCGGTTAGGGCCTCACCTCGTACTTTCTACCTGCATGGTAGCTAGAGGGAGGCAAGGGGAAACATCTGTCCCTGGGAGAAGCATCCAGAGGGCACCGAACTGTTGCTACGAATTTTGAGAATGAAATGTTTTCCATTCTTAGCAAAACAAGAAGAGCGCGAGATCTTAACTGAATTTTATATAACTTTTATACTATTTATCAAAGTGTAAAAAAATGTGACTGATTCAAAAATTGTTCACGCTGTATAAATTAAGTTTAATTAAAATATTCAAACTATTTCACATCCTTTCCACATTAATTCATTCCAGTTGGCATCTGGCTCTTGTTTAAAAAAGAAAATATGCACGGCAAAAAAAAAAAAGAGAGAGAGAGAGATAAAGACATAAAGACGCATTCAAAATTTGTATTAATTTTCCTCCGTTATTTCAAAAATTAAAAAGAGAATGCCAAGCTTTTATTCCTGGAATCTATTCATTCATCCTTCGGAACCCACTTGTGTCCTGATCCATGGCAGTCTCTTTTAATCATCATTTACTTCGATTTTCTCCTAACACGAAAATCCTGTTTAAGATTTTGCGGCCCAAGAACGATTTATTTACATTAACTTCCAGAACATCATGGAATGTGGCACTAGCCTTTCGAGTTACGACGACTAACTCGCTTGTCTTTCCTTGCCTTCGCGATCGTTTGAATTGGTGGCGGTGTTGCAGCTATTTTTCACGGGCATTTAATAAAAGCGAAGTTTTCGCCGTGTGATGGCACTTGGAGAGATTAAACGACGCGTTTCAGCCCTGTTCTTGGCAGCTGAGAGGATTGGTGGCGCTGCAATCGTCGTGGCCATGCTTGGAGGTGAATTTAAGAGCGCGTCTAGTTCTTGATTTATGCAGAGTCTTGATCATTTGTTCTTGTTTATCATTACCACTATTTAGAGATATGTGGCATTGGTTGATATGCGGGACTGAGGTAATTTGTAAATCCACGAGTCATCAATTAACCTTTTCTAAGTTTGCTGGATATTCAGAATTGGTGTCAAAATTAGAAAATAAAATACAACCCCAATTCAGTATTTATTTTTAATACATACTAAGTAACATATTAAGTAATTCAGTATATCGTATTTAGAATACGCAAGCCAAAGAGATCGGCTATTATTTTGAAATTTAACATAAGTTTGCAGAGTCATTAGTGTTTTTTTTTTTAAAGCTCAATGGACTTTTGTTTTTTGTTTTGCGATTTTGCGTTGGTTCACTATAAATATCCATTCCACTTTCTAAACTGTTGCCACCAAATCTAAGAGTCCTACATTATATTTGAAGAAATTAAATAAGGAAAAATCTGCATAAATGTATGTATATTTCTCGCATTGTGATAAAGCAACGGTACATAGAGCTATCGAATTTTGAATGACGTAATCCTACTGCGAATATGGGCATGTGGAAGAACAAACTCGAAATTTGTTTTATTATCGATTTCATATTTTGTAAAACTTTAACGAATTTTTTATTACCAAACTCAAAGATTTCAAAGCAAGCAATGGCAACGTTGTACAGGAGAAATATTTTAATCTCCAGCGTTCGAGACTCTATCGGAAATTCTAAAGATATGCTCAATTTAAACTATTTTGCGATATTGATCTTGAACTCAATTTTAGGTTTTAAGTGCGAAGAACGTGATATTTAATAAATAAAGGTAACACACAAAATGTTAGAAAAACGCCCTTTGGTCTTAATTCAAAATCTTAAATCTTTCAGATTTTTATTTTTTATAAATGTATTTGAAACGAAGGATTTATTTATTTTATTTTTTTAAGTCGAAAGGGGCAGTTTGCCCAGAAGAACTATTAATTTCATTTTGGCATTGTTTCACTTTTCAAATTGTTGCCACCGAATATTATCGCCCTGTATTATGTTTAAAGAAATTAAATAATGAAGAATCTGCATAAATGTATGTATGTTTCTCGCACTGTGATTAAAAAAAAGGTACCTAGAGCCATCGAATTATGAATAACGTACGTTTCTACCCGAGTATGGGCATCAGAAAGCTCAAATTTAGAATTTGTTTTATTATCGATTTCATATTTTGTAAAACTTTAACTAATTTTTGATTAGCAAACTCAAGGATTTCAAAGCGAGCCATCGCAACTTTGTACAGAAAAAACATTTTTATCTCCAGCGCGCGAGACAGTGTATCCGAAATTCTAACGATATACTCATTTTAGAATTATTTTGCGATACTGCTGTTGAACTGAATTGTATGGTTTAGTTGCGAAGAAAGTGATATTTAATAAGTAAAGATAACACAAAATGCTAAAAAACGCCCGTTTGGACGTAATATTTTCAGATTTTTTTTGCTATGTACACGTGAAAAGAAAATGCTTAAAAATATTTCAATGCGAATGAAATCAGTTCATTCTTTCCAAGGATAAACCAATTCGTAAACAATTTTTTTTGTTGCCAAACAAGGAAACAAAGTGTTTTCAGATTTCGAGTCAGTTCCTGTACGTATGCAATATCATGATTTAAATTTAATGTAATACAACAACATTTTCAATAAAAGCATCAATAAAATAATTACCTGGCAATAACATACCGTGTCACTTGAAAAAAAAAAGTTGCCAACAGCAAGCATTTATTTAAATTACTCATATTAACGAAACATTTTCGACATACAATGAAATCGTGTGCTTTCTTCAACGTCAGAACATGGCCTTATATAATAATAATATATTTAATGTTTGGCAGTGCTGTTTTTATTTCATATTTGTAATACTTACAAATTTTTATTAACAAACTCCACGATTTGAAAGTGAGCAGTGGTAACGTTTTCGAAATAAAGCAGATTTTTATCTCTAGTGCGCGAGACCGTTGCCGCTTGGAAAAATAATGTCGAAAATGAGCGTTTTCAGAATTTTTAATTAATATCTCGGCTGATAAAACTTGCACGAATATGAGAATGGTCGAAATGGAATCCGGGGGTACCTCTCTCAAAACTCAACTCCCCGTTGGTTTGGAGGATTGCTACAAACAAACAAATTGATTTGAAAAATATAAATTAGACTTTTAATAAATTGCTTTTAAGCAGTACTATTAATATTTTAGCTTTTGGAAAGAATCATAATCTATAACAATTTCTTATTAATCACATCAAAATTTTATTTAAAGTTATGATAATATGCGAAATAAATCGCATTTCTTGTATTTAGTAAATAAATATATTATTTATTTGTCAAGCATTATTGCATGACTTAAAGCAGAATGGAAGGCTATTTCAAACATTCACAAATGCTTCTGTTAAATAAAACAAATGCTTCTGTTTGTAAGCTGTATATAACAATAAATTTTGGTTAAATTTGCACACAGTCTATGCGGAACTATGCACATACATCTCAGTTGTGTTCCAATTCATGCCTCACCGACAACACGCTTTCTGCCCTGCTTTATGATTACTCCATGGAAGTGAGACACTCAATCTATTATTACAGCAGACTTCGCTGTTTGGCGTAAACGAGGGATGATGTAATAATAGATTGAAATTTGCCCCTAAATACATTCATTTGTGAGCGAGAGTCGTCGCAATAATGCAGGCAGGAACAGCGGACGAAATTTACCAACCATTCAACTCTCGCAGCTTTCATCAATGCAAATTCAGAGGCGTGTGTATCATTTAGAAACTTGCAAATGTGTCATTTGTGCTGCAATCTGTGTATCATTATTCGTAGGTATTATTACGGTATGTCAAATATGTGAGTTATGCTAGTCGCTTCCATAGACATGGTCCTTCCCATTTACTATTCAATGTACGAAAACTGTAACAGAACCCTTTCTGAATGATATCAGAGTTTTGAGAATAATACCTGAGTTAAAGATCCATTGTTAACTTTTTCACTTTAACTTAGTGTTCAAGGCACTCTATTCTGTGATATTGGGCCAAAAAAGAATTACGACAGCTGTCGCAGTCATTATGACGTTTGTTTGTTTGTGTAGTTGAACACGACAAACACCGAGATTACCTGTCTAAGAAGAGCCATGCCTTCGTAGCTGGCAGTTTAAGAGAAATTGGTTTCTACATGGTGTTTATAATAATGAATTTTTGGTGATCAGCTGCGATAAAACAAATCGATATATAATAATGAATTTTTGGTGTCCAAGCGGCGATAAAGCAGCGATTAAACAAAAACGGTTGGTGTAACTTACACCTCATAGAGAACAAACTTAGTTTCAAACGATATTTACAAAAGAAATATACAGTTTCAGTTTGTGTTCGCAAGAAAAACATGATAAAAATCATGGTAATAGTGAAATTTTTCTTATATCATTAATATGCTTCTACGTGCGCACACGTGATCCCCGCAGAATATATGAACAATATTTAGTCCCAACCATATACTTTGTAAAATATAAGTATAATCAAGCCTTTAATATAAACTCTGCTGCTAATGTAAACTGAATACAGGATAAAGTTGCATGATATTCTTGAACTTTTACAATATCGCTTTCTATTCAGAAAAGCAAATAAGTTGTTTATTCGCGTGTTTTTCTTTTTGAATACAGGATAAAGTTGCATGATATTCTTATGGGCAACTCATATACGTATTTTACAAGTGAATTAAGAATTGAACAAATGGAAATAAAACTGTATTTCAGTTGGAGTATAATAAGAAGAGAAAACGTGGAAGCAAAATGAAAATGAAGTTTTGCAAATGCGTTCTGCGCCTACTTTAATGATGAAAGAAATAATCTGAAGAAGCGTTTTTGTTTTCTTTTTCCTTTCAGGATATAGACGTCGTGATCGCAGCGTCGTTGTCAGCCCGAGTAATGGAGGAAAGCAATGTCCTCATCTGCAGGAACTGGACGAATGCTCTGAAATCGAGATTTTTGATTGGCAGTATGGGAGCTGGAGTAACTGTTCCATTCTGGATCCCCAAGCTGTCTGTGGCCCAGGAGAGAGGACTAGAGATTACACATGCGTCAATTATGATGGTGTACGTAGATGTCACTTGACTATATATAATTTTTCTTCTCGAAATTTGTGCAGAAATCATTCTGCTCTAAATTCGCTGATCCTTATAAATGTGAATTTTAAGATAACAAAATTTTCTCAATATTAAATGTTACTGAATGCTAAAAAAATCATGAGAATATAAATAATAAGACATATTCTTTTATCTACAGTATTTACTTCCCTACACACATAAGAGTTCTATTTTTAAAAATAGATCTGACCACATATCTACTTTTAGAGTTGTTTTCACTTAATAACCTAGAAGAAATAACTTTAATTGTGGGCATTAATTGTACTATTACGAAACTAAATTTCTGCTCAGTAGCACACTAATTAAAATTGGACAATGTTTTCTTGAGTCTTGAATGAGTGAATGAAATGCATACGCAGCTGTTTACTGCCCCTTGCTTTTACTGGCATGATTTTCACATAAATTATTTACAACTGGAAGGCTGCTAGATTAATTTAATCTCCCAAATATTGCATCACCAAGGTTATAGTGCCTACTAGCCACATTAAAGCAGTTAGCCCTGACGTACACTGCTTTACCCATTTATCCAGTTTACTAATTTTTTTTAATGCCAAAAAACAACGCCAACGCTTGTAACGATTGATGTTTTAAACTTTCAAAATATTTATTAAATCAATTGTTTTCACTTTGTTTTTTGATAAAACGTATTGTTGCGAAATGCTGAGCGGTGAGATAGCTTCCGCGCAAAGCGGCGTTAGGGTTGCCAGAAAGTGGCAGGGAAAGGCAAAGTTCCCAGATTTGGTGCAAAATCGTCCATTTGGCGATATTTGGTGACAAAATTGGCAAGATGCCATAGATGCCATAGACGGGAACATTCTAGAACACCTTCTTAGTGGTTTTCTAGGGAATATTCTGAAAGGTAGGTTAAAGCTATATATACCCTGCCTGTACAAGGAGAAAATAGTGTCTTGAGTTCAGAGATTAGCTTGAGAGTGATCGACCGAATCGGGAGCTGTACTTTAGTTCTTTGTCGTGAAGCTGTCTTCACCATTATAGCCTGAAGGCTGTGTTGTTGATTGTTTCTCAGCGTGTTTGTCGTAGTCTTTCGAAAAGTGTAAACGTGTTTTTAGAACTGTCCTGTGTAATAGTGCTTACTGGTGAATAAATTGTGTCTTGATTCTTCATCAAGTGTTATTATCAATTACTTCAGATCCACAAACACGTAGAACGCAACATTATGATCTCGATAATCATCATAAATCCAACGTAGTCTAGAATCAATATTAGGAACATTGAAGATAATCTACTGTGTCGTTTGGGTCATAATGTATCATTGTTTCATATGATAAATTTTACAATCGGCTTATTCATTAAGTTCAGCATTTTTCCTAGGTTTTTCCAGGTTAAGTCTGGCAGATTGTTGGAGCAGTTTTAGCAAATAATAATTTTTGTGTGTTGAATTATAGGTATTAAGATGTTAAAGAATGTTCTTATATAGTCTTGTTTTCATAAGCATGAGAAAAAATCAAAACTAATATGCCGATAAATGCTCATGATCGCATAGAAGAAATTTGTATTAGAGTAAAATATGTTTAACTGGGCAGTAAAGGTTATGACAATAAAAAGTCAAAATTGCGTGGAAGATAGAGTACTATAAATAAATTTTGATCTTTATCTTGAGATGCCAGTGTTCACAGGCTCACTAGTTTCATGAGAAATATGTTATCATCATGTGACAACAAAGACGGCTTCCAATTGGAAGCATGCAAGAAGAAAAGTAACATACCTTTATTTGAATTTGGACACTGAAAGGAATAATAGCAACCACTCATCGAAGGATGAAAAGCTGTATTGGTCTCAGTTCAACTTACTTTTGTGTGGACCTCACAAGATAGTAATTCCTGTTAAGAAATTCAGTTAGGCAATAACTTAAATGAAGTGATGGACAAGTGTGTAATCGGTAAAAAAAAAGTATCTTTCTCATCTTAAATCTGACTTTACTGAATCATACTTGACTAGAGTCATACTTGACTCTAGTCAAGTATGATTCAGTAAGTCAGTCAAGTATGACTTACTTTCAGCCAGCCAGTCATACTTGACTGACTTTAAACCAGTCATACTTTAAACCACCAGTCATACTTAACTGACTTTAAACGCGAAGAAGTTCTTTTGCCATTTTTGTTTCTGCATATTATGTTAGAAAAATAAATTGTTCATTGTTTCGTTTCATGCACCCCTTTCACCGTTGCTAGACGATAACTTCCCCCCATCCATTACATAAACATTTATTTAAAATTAAATTATTTTTAATGTGTTTTGTAAAATAAACAAGAAAAAGTTAGAAAATTAATAAATGTAATTTTTTATATTCATAAAATAAAACTGAATACTTAACAGGAAAACAAAAGGCTGGCAGCAATTCCACCGCCCTGAAAGTATGAAATTCCCCTATAGTTAACAGACCCTGTTCTAGACCTTTATTTTGAGTAGATGCAGTAAGTCGAATACCAGTTCTTCTAATTCAAATTACATTTACTTTTGTTATTTTAAAAATGCAGTTTCCATTCAGCTTGAGATTTCAAAACTTTTAGAAATTTAAAAGAATTCATTTTGAAGTTACTAGAATTCATACTGTTTCATTACTATATTCTCCTGGCAATTTCGACCATAAATGCATTTATCAAAAAGGATGGCTGAACACCGTCTATAAGGATTTTGGACATTTTAATAATTTTATTTCCAGTCTTAGTATATTACAACTTAAAAAATTAAGTCCGTAACGATTACGTAGAAGACTGCTATAACAATATCGCCCACTGAATCACTAAATCAACCTGGAAAATGCGTTGAGCCTTTCAGATGGTGATTTTCAGTTCAACATCCGTCTTCCGCGGACATAAATATTTTGCCGTAACCTAATGATAAGCGCATACGTTCGTACTGCGTTAATATACTTCCACCAGAATATGGAACATGTAATTCATTCAATCACTATATGAATTCTCATTTACGCAAATTTCGGTATTCTTATATTTTCTTCGGTATTGGCTTACGAAAGTATTATATATTTATAGGCACCCATGAGTGAATTAATATGCAATCATCACAAATATCTGGAGGGGCCAAGCGGATCCTGCCGAGTTCCCTGCCCCAATGACTGCATCATGACTGAATGGTCAGAATGGTCAGTTTGCAGTAAGAGATGTGTTTCTTTGGATGACGAAGGAGAACAAATTAGGAATAGATCTGTACTCGCTATTGCTGGAGAAGGTAGGTTATTTTCTAACCCCCAAAAAATCAAGGAAATTCATAGAAAATTAGCCATTATTCATTTTGACTTTTTATGATTTTATTTCCAGTTTTAGTATATTACAACTGAATAAACAATTTAACAGTTTGACTAACTGCAAATCAAATCCAAATTATATATTCCTAATTGCAAATTATAAAATGTTTCCCTCAGATGCTTGGATATTACTACTCAAAATGAATGTAAATTTTTTAAAAAAAGTATGAAAATTACATAATTTTTCAAGCGATCTTTTGTTTTGCAAAATTGAGTTTTGTATTAAATTTTATATTTTTAAGTAGATTTAAAAGCTCTATATATGAATTTAATTTAAAGAAATTTCACAACGACTAACGAAGTTAGTGCTTTCTTTGATAGCCCCATTCTAAATTTGCTTATAAAACCAATCCTGAACAGTTTCTAAACAAAGGTTTTGATGGACCAGAGATGCATATCGCGGATAAAAATAATCTTTTCTACCTTTCTTTTTAAAGCATCTAAAAGTTTGAGTTGTGTTAAAATATGAATGTGGGGCAATTATATGAATGCATAACAAAGCATCAGCATCGTCTCAAAGGATATGCTACGTATATGTGTGAATATATAACAGGTTATTCTTCTCTTACCGGCAAGGTCGTAGACATGCGGCTTGGAAAAATTTTTGACGCCTGTGAGAACGTATATATACGTGCATCTTAAATTATATCTAAGAAATTAAGTGATAAAAGCAAATACATCCACGTATAAAATACCAGGCGCATTTTGGTATTAAAAAAACAAATATCTTTTTGTCATGGTAGTTTGGAGAAAGTTTTGCTTTCTTAGCGAAACCGCGTGCCAGTCTGAGTTAATATGAGTCTTCGGAAATCACATTTTTCTAATATATGCAATTTAACGCTTAAAATATATATTAAGATAATGATTCAATTATACTCTTATTTTTGTCTTAAGATAAAATATATTTAATAAATGTTAAATCATTATATGTTACTTTCTAGCAGAGTAGCTATAACAAATAAAGCTTATGTATGTGAAGTTGTCTTCAAAGTAAGCACTTCTGTATTACATTAGAGTGAAAATTTTTAAAAATTACTTTTGAAAAATGATAGTCATTACTTAGGATGAGTTACAGTTAAAATCTTGACGAGTGGTTAGTATTCTTCATGCGATACTACTTCTTGCAGCTGTCATTAAACCTCTGACTGATGATGGGAAAAAAGTAGCCTAAAATCTTTAAAGAAAACAAACTCAGTCGTTTGGGCAATAACATACACATCGCTTTTTTCATTAATTCATTAAATAAAATTCATTTTTAATGTACTTTTCCAAGTCTTTTTTTCCAAATGTTTATTGGTGAACTCCAACAACAGAGAAGTCAATAAATAAGTGCCTGTATTTCTGTTTTCCAGTGTTTTACTGTAGTTCCAAACAGATAAAAAACAGCCACGAAGGTTTTGGGACTGGGATGTAGCTATCTTCCTTTCATACGTTAGAACAAAGACAGTAAACAAAGAAGGTAAAGAAGGTTAGGCTCTTCCCGACACTGAAGTCACTTGCTTACAGAAAAGGAGAAAACGAAGCCACAAAGGAGTAGTTGCTTTTGAGCAGATTAAGGAGTTGGTGACATCAAACAACAGCAAACGTTGCGGTATAATAACCTGGCGATAGAGTTCGCTTTAATAAATAGAACTGGGAACTGAACTATCTTATTTGGTGAAGATTACCACCAAAATATATGACTTGTTTCGGATGTTGCGTTACTAAATATATCCTCCTCAATTGATTGCATATCTATCATTCCTATCAGTTCATGATTTAAAGAAAACTAAACTAATTTTCCACAAGCGGGGTAATCTGGCGCCAAATTCGTTTCGCTTGCGAAGTCAAACTTGACATCTTTGTTTCATTTCGCAATTAAAAATTGCGAAAAAACGGCGATGTAAAATCTAACATTGCCAAACGAAGATGATGCTAAACATACCCCAAGCATCAGTTACTGCAAAGTAAAACATAAATTTAAACTAAAAATAACAAAAATAAATTACTACAAAAATAATAACATACCAAATGTCTCTTCACTCGCATCAAAAAATTGTCAACCAAATAAATATATTAAAATTCACTAAGAATGGGTGCATCATAACTCACTAAAACATATGCAAGTTACTATCATACTGTTGTTACACACTCTGCACTTTCGCTCAACACTTTAAACATTCTACATCCAAGGAACAAAACTAAAATATAATTAACTGACCCGAAAATATTAACTAAATAAAATTAAATGAAAACACTCATAAATTATAAACTACACGTCATCTGAAATCCAACATTCTCCCACCAACGACAGCTTAGCCTCCTCCAAATATTAAACAGTGAAACTTTTAAAAATAATTACAATATTTCAAAATTAAATTTCAAATAAAATAATTCCGCGCTTACCCTGCCTATGGAAGATTAACCGAAAACTCAGTATTTGCTGTGACCTACTATAATGTGAATTTTTTCTCCTACCTTTTCATTGAACAAAAATGGTTTCAGAGATTTACTATTCATAATTTTTTTTCATTTATTTTAATCATTTCTTAATTTGGAAGCAATACAATCCATCGTTCAAAACGTTTTTGATATTTTAATCTTTTGTGAAACATTTTGCGCATTTTACGAATACATTTATTAAATACAGAAATCTCTGCTTGGTTATTTTTCAAATCGAAATGCTTCGAAGGCGTAAGATTCATATGCAAATTCTGAATAAATTAACTTAAATCTTTTTCCTCCGTTCATAAAGCTACTAGAACACACATCAAATGATATCAGGTTTCCAGAACCTATTTTATACCTACAGATTCCTTTTTTTCCCACAGGGGGCAAAGAGTGTCCCAAGAAGAGGAGGAACGGCAGAAGCTGTAATATGTACAGCTGTGTACCATACAAATGGGAGACTTCAGAGTGGGGACTGTGCATTACATCTGACCATCATGGGGAAATTTCATACGGCACTGGATTCCAAGAAAGGCAGATACGCTGCGTGAAAGGAGGAAAAGAAGTCAAGTCCACCAAAATGTAAGTTTCAAACTAATTGCTTCGTAATACTCTGTATGTACAAAGTAACTTCAAACATACTTTTTTTAAATTATCGAAAATAAAGTTATTTATTTCTGAAAATTTAAAAAACTTATAATAACGGATAACTGCTTTCGACAGTTGCACACATGATGTTCATAAAACTAATGAAAACGTTCAGAGAATTTATTTTATGAAACTTTTGTAGTGCTAGATATGGCAGATGTGTCATCCTTTCAACCCGTGTTTCTATCGAGGATATAAAGAAATTATTGATAGCCTATATGAAGATGCGGGAAGAAATCCTGGAACCTGTTCTTTGAGTATTAAAGCCGGTATCGCTGGAGCAAGTACAGTGTCTGAATAACAGTTTTTCTTTCAGTTGGATTTCAAACGGGGAATAAAGAGAAATGTCCACTGGAGGCAAATTAAAATATGTTGTGTACTCTAGTATTATTACCTGTATCCAGTCAGTTGCTATTTACCAGAATTCCATTTAAAATTCTGACAACGTCTCTCACTGGGAGCGCTAGAGATTTTGCTGCTGTTAGAAAGAGAACACTGCAGTCACGGTACCTGTGCTATGATACTGCTGCGTTCCACGGGTTCGCAGATTTAGAGTAATTGATGATAACACTTGATAAAGCTCAAATCACAATTTATTCGACAGTATTACACAGGAGAGTTCCAAAGAAACGTTTACAGTCGTCGAAAAACTACGATAAAGACGCTGAAACAATCAGCAACACAGCCTTCAGACTATAACGGTGAAGATAGCTTCACGGCAAAGCCCTAAAGTACAGCTTCCGATTCTGTTCGGTCGTTCTCAAGCTAATCTCTAAACTTAAAACACTGCTACTGAACTCACCATAATATTCGAGATACTTTCTACTCCGCGTACAGCCAGGATATATATACAGCTTTTGACCTGCCTTCAAGAATATTCTTGGGAAAACCGATGAGAGTTAGTTTTAGAATGTTCTCTTTCCTTCTATAGCATATCGCCTATTTTGTCTCCAAATGGGCGATTTCGCGGCAAATTTGACAACCCTGCCTTTCCTTGCCATTTTCTGGAAACCCTAAACCCGGCTTCGCGGGGAAGCTACCTTACCGCTACAGCGTAAAAATATCATAAAACGCTTCTGAATGATTATCTTAATGTTGTAAATATTTTCATTATTCTGTACAATATGAAGTTATTTGGGGGATTTTAAAACTACAGGTAAGTTTTTCTCCGCCTTTTTTTTAAAAAGCTAATTCTTTGCCACTTTAAAAATATGTTATTATTTTTTTTTTTCGATTAAAGCTTCGTAATTGATATAAATTTGTATGTAAACATTTGAGTATTACAAGAGGTGGAAAGGCAGATAAAATGTTGCAGAAGCTTGTTGAATTTTGAAAACGACCTAAAGATATTTGTAGTGCATTGTTTGCAGCACTTTAGAGGTACTTTCTACTCCATGTACAGGCAGGATATATACAGGTTTTGACCTGCCTTCAAGAACATTCTTGGGAAAAACCGATAAGAATTAAGTTTAGAATGTTCTCTTTCCGTCTATAGCATATCGCCTATTTTGTCTCCAAATGGGTGATTTCGCGGCAAATCTGACAACCCTGCCTTTCCTTTCCACTTTCTGTCTTCCTGCTGGAGATACCTTTCTGTAATCTATGTGGAAGGTGGAAAGTGTACTGAAAAGTGAAAGGCTAAACATAAACAGCTAATAAAAATGCAAAATATATAATTCTGTATTTCTTGCCAATGTACGGTACATTAAAAGCCAATTTCAACCAATTTTGTAACATGCAAAAAAGTCAGGAATAAGTTTACTTTTGTGAAAGTAATTTAACCGTTAGGTTATTATTCCCTTCGATAATTTAGTCACTCAGCAGTCAATATAATTTGTGCCTATTAGTTGTTAATTTGTTAATTTAGGACGCAGTCAGGCCCGCCTGGCGAGCGAAGCTCGTCTTATGAGTCAAAAGGCTGTGCCCAAATTACACTACAAACGGCAGCTTATAGAGACCCTACAGCGCTCAAAAGCCAACACAAACGCGAATAAATAACATAACCCTCCTGCGATGCCGAGCACCAAGCTCAAATAACATAACATTGAAAAAAAAATACTAAATGAACATAAAAAAATTACAATAGTAAATCAAGGTTGCAAAGCTATAAAAACCAGTAAGACGTTACAATATCTAAATAAAACCAGCAAATAAATAAGGGGTTGGTGTAACATCACTAAACTCTAAATAAACTAATTTCTAAACAAACTAATTACAACTCTAAATAAATTAATTTTTACGGCTCCAAAAACATAAATAAATAAATAAGGGGTTAGTACGACATTACTTAAAAACAATATAAAACAAACAAAAACACAGGCAGTCAATAGTTGAACTCTAGCTATATTTCCAGTTCTTTCTCTGTTTAAGCTAATAATTTTCATAATCTCTCGAGCAGTCTTATAATTCTTCCTATCACATAAATTTTCTGTAGAAGTGATCTTAAAATCTTGATGGAACGAAATAGTTAGACCGCATCCACGCACGAAGCCATACCTGTATCGTAGTAGTAATTCAGATGGTATTTTCAGATGCATTGCTTGCAGCATTCATGGAAATCGTGTTCATTATGCAATCCAACTTTCCTGGACGATCTGGATGAAATGTTGCAGAGAAAGACTCCGCAGAGAAGCAATCCCGGCGAACGTGTTCCCCATGTGTAACGTACATTCGAGTCAGTTTCCTTTGGAAAGTCCTTCAATAAAACATCCCTGCTCTTAGGCAAATAGCCTCTCGCTGTCGGTGGAAAAAAGGCGTTCGCGTGCTTTACTGTAATCAAATTAAATAAACAACTGTACAGAGGAGACTAAGCTTCTATTATGCATGCTCTTGAATCTATACTCAGTGCATTGATACTGACTTTGGATCTATTGATCTTAATGCTGAACGAAAATCGTCTTTAATTGGGCATTCAACTTTTCTTGGTCACTTTTATTACCGTGTCTTCGCTTTCATAAACATTTGCACGCGCAAAGATATTTACCGTGTCTTTGCTTCCAGAAACATTTGCATGAGCAAAGCTATTAATTTTTAGGAAAGGAAGAGGAAAGAAACCAGTTACCTGGTAATCAGATCCGTGGAAATCGTTGGAACTCTAAATAAATCAATTTCTATATAGCTCCAAAACAAAAAAAAGAAAAATGAACGGGATGCCTATCTCTGTTATACTGAAGGTAATTTGTGATTTTCGTAATCAGTAAAAGAGATTTTAAGCAAATATAATTTTTTTCAGCTTTAGATGTACTAAATAATATAGTAACGAAATGTCAAGGCGTGGTAAGGTAGCTTCTCCGCAAAGCAGGTTTACGTTTGCTATAAAATGGCAAGGGAAGGGCAGTGTTGCCACATTTGGCGAGAAATCGCCCATTTGGCGACAGAATTGGTAATATATGCAATGGACGGATGGAGAACCTTCTGGAACGAGTTCTTACGGTTTAGCCCAGAATGTTCTCGAACACAGGCCAAAAAGCTATATAAACCCTGCTGGTAGGCGGAGAGTTAGTGAGAATCCATCGAGTGGATAGTCAATCAGTCATTTAAAACCTCGTCTAGCGAGTTGATAGTCAGTGATTGAGCGAGTGTCCCGAAGTCTAGCGCCGAGTTGGTCGTCGAGGGCATCGAGAGAGTCCTTAAGTGTATTGCCAGTTAGTGCATCGTCGAGTTTTGTCTTAGATTGTGCTGAGAGCTGTACTCTTGCGTATCGTCGAGTGCATCAAGAGTTACAGCGTGGAGAGTCTCAAGAGTACGTGGAGTTTCGAGAACGACCGAGCAGAGTAGGGAGCTGCACTTTGGTGCTTTGTCGTGAGGCTATCTTCACCGTGATATTACTTAATTACTTAATGACGTGATAGCCTGATAACCTGAAGGCTGTGTGTCGCTGATTGTTCCAGCGTGTTTATAGTAGTTCTTCGACGATTGTAAAACCTGATTTTGGAGATGTCCTGATTAATATTGGCTAAATAAAGTGTGTTTCGCTATTTCATGAAGTGCCGCCGTTATTCACTCCAAATCTATGAACCCCGTACGAACGTGAAGGAAGAAAATAACGTACCAAAAAGAAAAAGAAACAAAAAGAGAGATACCTATCTCTGTTACATTGAAGGTAATTTGTGATCTTCGCAATCAGTACAAGAGATTTTAAGCAAATATAATTTTTTCAGCTTTAGATGTACTAAATAATATGTTTTACTCAGTGTGTCGGTATTGTTTTTTTAACCAAAAATTAGATAAGTAAGTTGTCTGAAAACTTAAAATTTTCTACTTTTTTAATCATAGTCTGATTTCTAGAAATAACGCGATATATCAGGTAGCATCTATAACAGATTTTTTACAGGTAGCTTTTGTAGAAGAAGTCAAAAATAGCTGTGATTTTTACTAAATGCGTCCTCAGTTAATGAGAAATTCCTCGTTCCACTAGAATGACCTTACAGTGCTGTTTAGACATTTTAATGAATGTCAGAAACTTTCACCGTGCCATTGGCGTATTACTTGATGACGGACCTCATTACTTACCTTTCCAAAATAACTTTATGAAACCCTATGATTCTTGTCAAAAAAGCATTTTTTAATGCATGAAGAACCAAGACTCGTGACCATCGCAGAAATGCTTTTGCAATTAAAATAAACTATAAACCAAAAGATGTTTACTATGCCATGACACTAAGCCAAAATATTTTTTTGCCGCTCTTTCTCGAACAGCTAAATAAAATTTCGGATAAATAAGTTTATGGTTTTCTCATTATGTAGTGCTATTTATGTTCTTGTGAAACATTACTTCTTGTTTTTTGTCACTTCATTAAGTACGTTGATTTAGGTTTCATGCATTCGCAGAGGCTGGCTGAACCGAGCTCCAAAGCCCTCAAGGGATATTGATCTTAGGAGGAATGTCTTCGTTGAGCGCATGCTGAGGGAACCATTATTCGTGTTATGGCGGA